ACACCCTACCGATCAACCCTAAACCCCATGAAATTTACAAATTTTTGCCCCACTGCCCCAAAATCGTTTTTCTATCACTGAATTCTGTTGTGTAGGCTACTATTGAATTTTCTGCAGTCGTACGACTGTTTCAAGTTAAGAAATGTGAGGGCCTCTCATAGGTCCGCGCTCGCGCCATACGTTTACAATGGCAAGCGATAAAGCTAGTGAAGTGGGTCAAATTAAAACCTTTCCCCTTGCCTTATTTTGAAAATTTAACCAATTTTGACTATTGGGAAAGATGTCTTAGGCTCAAAACCCCATTTCAACGCGAAAGAAGGATTTTGAACGTATCAGGTATTTGGTCAAATTCGTAAAATCAAATGTGAGGGCCTCTCATAGGTCCGCGCGCGGCATTCATATAGTCAGGCTAAAAATTTTCGAATCATTATTCAGTTTACGTTACAAGTGTAAGGTACGAATATCAAACTGCTACCATGTCTGGACGAGGAAAGGGAGGAAAAGGTTTAGGAAAAGGAGGAGCCAAGCGTCACAGGAAAGTTCTCCGTGATAACATCCAAGGTATTACCAAGCCAGCTATTAGACGTCTAGCTCGACGAGGTGGTGTCAAACGTATCTCCGGCCTTATCTACGAAGAAACCAGAGGTGTATTGAAAGTCTTCTTAGAAAACGTCATTCGAGATGCTGTCACCTACACTGAACATGCCAAGAGGAAGACCGTCACTGCCATGGATGTCGTCTATGCTTTGAAGAGACAAGGCCGAACCCTCTACGGATTCGGAGGTTAAGCTTTTGCTTACCAGTCAGTCTCCCGAAGAGCACTCAAACGGCCCTTTTCAGGGCCACCCAAATTCTCACAAGAGAGTAAATTACAGTCTTATTTCAAAATACCATCCAGTAATGAAATTAACTACAAAATACATACTACCCGCACACATCATGCCCCACCCCATTTTTTTTGTCTTCACCCTTCAAAGAAGCATAACACCCATATAAATCGTATAGACTATAGTATAAGCCCTTGTCGTGTGTGACCTAACTAAAACTATAGCTATATAGTAGATATAGTAGAGAGAGAGAGAGAGACCTGAGTGGCCTACAACTAACTACTCTTTATACACTGACTCGCTCGCTCACTCACTCATCCATCCATTCATACAGTGCAGTGGTTGCTTTGGCCAATTTTCTGATAGTAGGGTTTTTTGGTTTGTTTATTGTTTCATTGCAAGTTTCTCAACTTAATGTGGAT